GTCTCATTTTCTATTAAAGAATTAACACTTCGCACTTTAATAAGTACATCACTAAAGCGCAAAATATATCCATATTGCTTTACATATAAATTCCAAAGTAAGTAAGGTTATAGTACGACATAGATTTGCAAGAAATGGAATGTTTAAAAACAATATTAACAACAAAACTTCCAATAGAAATTTTAGTAAGGTAACGTCACGTCAGATACTTCGGCTGATAAAAAAAGCAGGACAGAGTTTTACATTTTGGAATTTGGAAAATTAACTTTAAATATTTCAAATATTACTACAAAAATCTTATACAAAAAGTCTTGCCCAATTACCAGAGTTTTAAATTTTGAGGTTTTCATTTTATTTTCTAATATTTTGTCATACAAATGTATCATTATGCACATTAACTTTGTAATGTACATTTACGATTCGATACGATACAAGGGTTCTGGTACTCGATTCGAGTAAAAAGTATCGGTTTCGAATGACAAAGATATCGATATGGTATCATATCGTAACGAAAATCGTTTTCCTAATAACAAGAACAATAGTATACAAGATTTCGCATTCCCGGAGGCGATNGTACAAGGGTTCTGGTACTCGATTCGAGTAAAAAGTATCGGTTTCGAATGACAAAGATATCGATATGGTATCATATCGTAACGAAATTCGTTTCCCTAATAACAAGAACAATAGTATACAAGATTTCGCATTCCCGGAGGCGATGAGATTTCTCAAGTAAAAGTAAACAAAGCCGAATGGGAGGAGAAAAGAAACTGTCAAACAGTTAATTTTCTCAATNACTAAAGCGCAAAATATATCCATATTGCTTTACATATAAATTCCAAAGTAAGTAAGGTTATAGTACGACATAGATTTTCAAGAAATGGAATGTTTAAAAACAATATTAACAACAAAACTTCCAATAGAAATTTTAGTAAGGTAACGTCACGTCAGATACTTCGGCTGATAAAAAAAGCAGGACAGAGTTTTATATTTTGGAATTTGGAAAATTAACTTTAAATATTTCAAATATTACTACAAAAATCTTATACAAAAAGTCTTGCCCAATTACCAGAGTTTTAAATTTTGAGGTTTTCATTTTATTTTCTAATATTTTGTCATACAAATGTATCATTATGCACATTAACTTTGTAATGTACATTTACGATTCGATACGGTACAAGGGTTCTGGTACTCGATTCGAGTAAAAAGTATCGGTTTCGAATGACAAAGATATCGATATGGTATCATATCGTAACGAAATTCGTTTCCCTAATAACAAGAACAATAGTATACAAGATTTCGCATTCCCGGAGGCGATGAGATTTCTCAAGTAAAAGTAAACAAAGCCGAATGGGAGGAGAAAAGAAACTGTCAAACAGTTAATTTTCTCAATTTCTCAATATTAAATTTTTCGTCGGAAAACGTGATTTTATTGTGTTAAATTGCAAAATATATGATTTATAAAAAGAACTATTAAAGAAAATGTAAAAAATCGGCGACTTTTGTGAAAGTTTTAGCACGTTACAGAGCATCTAAAGCATCGTTTTATAAGCAAAAACACTATCAGCTGATTGCCAAAAAATGCCTACAGCTGAGAACACCTGTTTTTTGGCATGTGCTCTTATATTTTATAATTTCTTTCATTTCTTTTACAATTTCNATTAAAGAAAATGTAAAAAATCGGCGACTTTTGTGAAAGTTTTAGCACGTTACAGAGCATCTAAAGCATCGTTTTATAAGCAAAAACACTATCAGCTGATTGCCAAAAAATGCCTACAGCTGAGAACACCTGTTTTTTGGCATGTGCTCTTATATTTTATAATTTCTTTCATTTCTTTTACAATTTCTTTTATTTCTATTATAACCCTCCAGTACTGCTGGAGTCAATCGCTACTTTTGAACCTCTACTGCACCGACTCCTAGGTAAGTAGCTACTCTATTAACCCGTGGTAGTGCAGAGTCAAACCAGTCGGGAGCAGAATAGCGAAAAACTACGACAGAGGGCGCCCATAAATCACGCAAGTGACTACTTTAGTAACTCCCGGTAGTGCAGAGAGAGCCGATGGTGACTACCGCCTAGGACATTGCCTTGTAAAAGTAATCGATGAAATACACTGCAAGTAGTCGGTCGGTAACTGACGGAGTTTACCAGGTAGCTACCGATTCATCAGTCCTGTAGTCGCTCCCCCGTACTGCAGGGAACTTATTCAAAATACACTAACACACTGAACCAAAAACAAACCTACAGCCGCCAAAAATACACCTGTAGCCTGCCAGAAAAAACGGTAAGAAGAGTTACTTTACTCATGGAACTGTACGATGATCTAAAGTTTTTAAGGCGTTGTTTACTTTTACGTGAGGATTGTCAATATCAGCAAAACCCAAGTTAAAAGTTTTTTCTAGAGATTCGAATTAAAAAGTTTTCAGTTTAAGTGAAGGCTTCCAAAGTGAAGTGAAAAACTTCAATTGAAGTGACAGCGGCAGCACTGTTCAAGTGTGACACCAACCATTCAAATGAAGAGATCTACACTTTCACTCCAACTCCGAAGAACCTTTGTAGAAGTACATTCGGAGGCATGCCAGTATCTGCCGAGGGGCGACCGCTATTTAAAAAAGCTTTTTTTATGTTGCTGGGGCCAGAAATTTAACCATGGACCTCTCGAGTGGCAGTAGGCACTCAGCACTCGGCTAAAGCGTCAAAGCACTAATGAAATCATACAAAAGGCAGAAAAAATTCAATAAATTATTAAATTAAGTTAAAATAGGACCAAACGTAAATTTTTATTTGTTTTACTTTTGATTTAAGAAAAAACTTGAACTTATTATGCTTTACTCTTTTAATTATAAGCTATCGTTACTGATAGTTTTATTGTAATTTTTGGTCAAAACTTCATACCAACATAAGCACTTTCACTGTATGAAAAGTATGTACAGGAACCGGGTTTTTCATATTGCAATTTTTCGAATAACTCGAAAACCGGTTTTGGAAAAAGGCGAACAATCGAATACCCTAGTATATACGTGGTTAACGCAGAAACGCATCTATACATATGTACGCATGNCCACTGTGAATTGAAGAGAAATCTTGTTAGAAAAATACTGGAGATCAAGTGGATAACTTTCGATATAACTTTGGTAAATTAATTATGTTGGTAACAAATTAAAAATTATTTTTAATTACTGTATGTAAACTAAAGAAAAAAAGTAGTCGTGGTATGCCATTTGCTCTTATTTAAATGGTATATATGTTTTATTTTTGCAAAAGAAATGCATATACCTGACCCAAAGTTTGTTCTATGGTAATTAAAAAACATTTTTTATTTAAATATTTTTCGATGGCTGGCTTTCTGGTGCCTTTCCTCGTTTAAATATTTCAGTTTTAAAGCTATTTTAGTCCTCTTTCAGTTTATACCAAACTTATTTAATTTGGATACGCGGTTTGTTTATTATTAGGAAAGGACTTTTATTTTCCCTGGTCCCTGGTATGTATTTATATTAGGGTGGCCAAAAAAGTAAAGTCGGAATTTTAATGTTCTCCCTCCTGGGACTGTTCTTGACGTGCTTTGACTGCCTGTAAAATTTGTCGTTCACATACTTTTAACAGGCAATCGAAAAAAAGTCGATTAAGCAGACCGGCCATACATTTTTAGCAGGCAGTCGAAAAAACGGCCCTAAGGAAATAACTTGAGCTTTTTGATTAAAGAAAACAAAGACAAAATATTCCAAGCGGTTTTCGAACAGTTCCGTAAATAACAATTTTTGGGCTTAAAATGCTGGATTTTTGGCCAATTTATATTAAACTTGTGACAAAAATATTTCTTTAACTCTAAAGAACATATATTCCGAAAATGAAAGTTATATCTGCAAAATATAAGTTGCCAGAGCAGTTTAAAGTCCAAAAACTGACCCTAAAATAAACCATATTGGTTCCAATTCTGCATCAGAAAACGGAATGATCACCTACGAAAAACAATCTATCGGTAAATTTAAAGTTTTTTTTCTTCAAAATGCTGCATAAAAAAAATATTGCTTCATTATTTCACTTTAAATTTTATCACAAGTGTCATGTGCAAATATTGAAACAGAGCTGAAGAGAAAGCGTTTTCCCTTCATTTGTTTCTAAATATCTTAATTCACTGAAACATTATGTAGGACTTGATTTGGAATAAATTAATAAAACAATTTTAAACGCTTTTTCAACAAAGAATTCATATGTATGTAAATAAAAAAAAATTCTGTAACTCGAACTTTTTCGTCGGATAATGGTGACTCGAGATATGGAAGTGTGACTGTACATATTATGTATGAACATATGTATATACATAAATACATATGTATGTACATACGTATTACATGATATTGTGGCAATAAGCGAATATGCGCCATGTGCTCGACTCGTGCTATCACCTGTCATGTAATTAAATATTCAACATGAAAGTAGAATGAACAAATTACGCGTACTTAAGCAGCGCTTTAACAGGTACATACCTACAATATCGTCAACTGAAATGCAAAAAGACGTAACAACATCGTAAATGAAATGGAAAAAGTCGTGACTAATTTTTTTTTTTTAATAAAATGATGTGGGGAGTTGTAATTCGATGAAATCCATCATATGTGTAAATCAAAAAGTGAATTTTGAATTTTTTGTTAGTTATGTATGACTTTTTGCATTTCAACGATGATGTTTGTTGCGTCTTTTTGCATTTTAGGTGACGATATTTATAATTGCAGACACCTTTAATTAGCAACGCATTTACGTAGGTAAATTTTCTAATCGTTATGAAGTTAGCCGTTGGCCAGCGAGCTGCCACGAGGGGATGTAGCTCAGTGGTAGAGCGTTCGCTTTGCATGTGAAAGGCCCCGGGTTCGATCCCCGGCATCTCCAAGTCGACTTTTTTTCACTTTTTTCAGAACTTTTTTTCTAAAGAAAAATGTTTATCATTTTTCCTGAACTTTTTTTCTAAAAAAAAAATTTTATACTTTTTTAATAATTTTCTTCCTTAATACGAGTAGTTCTTTCCCACTTTTATTTCAGTTCCCAAACATTAACAAACTTAAAACCATTATTCTCAATGCATCCACTTTCCGTTAATTCATATTTAGCTGCATGTCTCATATCGCGTCGTCTGTCCTCTGTCAAGCCATGTCGACCTGGATCACCAACGAGTATTTGCTTACCCGCGTTGCGAAGACTCTTCAACCAAGGCTGCAAAACGGCTGCAAATTCTTCATCGTAGAATACATCTCCCAACAAAATTACGTCTTCTTTTATTGACTGTGGCGCTGCCGCTGTTAAATTCTCCGTACAGATATGCAGACGAGTGTAGTCAACGCCATTCAATTGAGAGTTCAGTACAGCAGCGTAGCCAGCAACTAAAAAAAAAATGAAAAACAGCGAGAATGAGAGCGCGCGCACAAATAGCAGAATTGTGCACTTTGACAAACACTGTGTATGAGGGGATGTAGCTCAGTGGTAGAGCGTTCGCTTTGCATGTGAAAGGCCCCGGGTTCGATCCCCGGCATCTCCAAGTTGATTTTTTATTTTTTTTTTATTAATTTATTTTTTTAATTACCTTCGTCAATATCATTTGCCACAACATATTTCGCTTTTTGCATTAATGCAGCAACGGTACTTGCACCACAGCCACTGCCCACATCTAGTACTGACTTGCCAGTTATCAACGATGGATTGTCGAGTATGAAGCTGTAAATATGTATACATACATTTGTATAAGGATAAGCAATAAGAGGGTAAATACATAAATTGTAAACAGACAAACCGACTGATTGCTTGTCCACCGGGCCAATAAAATGCCCAAAAGGNAAGCTGTAAATATGTATACATACATTTGTATAAGGATAAGCAATAAGAGGGTAAATACATAAATTGTAAACGGACAAACCGACTGATTGCTTGTCCACCGGGCCAATAAAATGCCCAAAAGGGGTCAGTCTTAAACATTATGGAGGAGTCAATTGAAGGAACTGGTTCATTGAAAAGTCGACAATCAGGCGTTATGAGGTAAAGTGCTATCTCTGGGGTTAAATGGTCACGCGAAATTTTTGTCTCCTGCAGGATTATGCGCTCGATGTCTATAGGATTTACACTAAAAATAAAAATTGAGAACAAAGGATTAAATTAATTATAATTATCTGTTGATGCTCAACATTAAAAATTATTGATTTGTATTCTAATACATATACATATTTACAGTTTACAGTGACTCAAACACATGACTACGTGTTGATTTTTTGGTAATATTCATAATGTTTTTCGAGCTATTATTATTTTTTTGTTATTTTTCTATAAAAATATCGGCCAAGCTTTACCCCAAAACATATCAATCAAAGTTTCAAACTTTGTACAAAATTTAAGAAAATTCAACAAACTTTCATCAAAATTTAAACTTTTTAATCTGAATCCTTAGAACATTTTTGGGTATGCAGTTTTATAGCCCATATAATTCCAATCTCCTGAAGTGCATGTTTCAACCGGCAAAAAAATCGCATTGATTTTTGAGATTTTTTTTTGGAGAATACATTTTACTTTTTTTTATATTGTTATGTATTATATGTATATAAATTTGTTTTAATGCGGCAGTGTTACTTTTTATGAAAGAGTATCACGTTCTACGCGAAAATTTAGGCGTCTCTGCCTGCATCAACGTTCGAGGAACAAAATTTTGACAATCAGTTACTCATCATTGGAAAATCAAAAGCAACATAAAATTTTTACTGCGCAATTTCTGCAACATTTTAGAAAATTTTCAGTTGAGCATCAGCAACATGTAATCAGGAAAGCAACAAGTCTGCAATATTGCGGTAATTATTCCATAGCTCGAACGCACCCTACATACATATGTATGTATACTTGAAAATAGATAATTGCGTCTCGGTCAAGCTGNCGAACGCACCCTACATACATATGTATGTATACCTGAAAATAGATAATTGCGTCTCGGTCAAGCTGTTTATAGAACTTTTCTTCCTGTGTGTAACTCAAACCGACCGCCGTGCTTATTCATACCAAAAGGAATTTCGCGGAACCCCGGTGAATTTTTTACGAAACCCACTTTAAGAAGCTGATTGTTTAAGTTAGAAGAAAATAATTACACAATTGTTATGCAAATGCCAAATTTTACATTTCCCTAAACCGTGTGAGTGAGATGGGAGAGTATTTGTATTTTCTTTCCCTCTTCTCCCTTCAGATAATAATAGTTGATAATAATTTGTGTAGCAAAAGTAAAAACATGTAATTTTCAAAGCTTGACTTTGAGTTCGCACTTTTTTCTTCATTTTACCCAAAAAGAGCTGCGTACAAAGACAAACTATGGACAAGTAATTTTTTTTTAATTTTTTTACATATGTTACAATATTTAAATCACATTTTCAATGAAATTCAGATTTTGGTAGGCTGAGAGTTATTTTGTATTTGTAATTGTGGTAGGAAAAAAACACTGGTAACACTGCCACAGATCCATACCTATCGTCGTCCTGTACATATCGTCGTTTAAAGTACAAAACCGCGTATCAAGAAAATGCAAAACCTCGTATTGCCAAGATTTTGTAGGTGAGAGTAAAGCTAGTGCTTTTTCAAAACTTGCTTGATGCCAGGAGCTTCCGGCGAGCAAATATCTTTTTTGGCACAAATGTCAGTTACGAGGTTTTGCAGAACGACGATACGCGGTTTTATACTTTAAACGACGATATGTATCTACATATGTACAGCAGGGACGAAAGCAGACATTTTTTTTCATGGGGGGGGGGAGGGGGGTTGGTGTTTAAAAAAATTTGTTTTCGATTTAGTCAGTTCCCCCAAATATGCGTTTCGGTGTTCCAATATGACTTTATTTAATTTTTTTTAAGTAGTTTGCGGTGCTTACATACATATCGTACACCGTCTTCAAAAGAGGCAAAACTCAAAATTTGGCATTTTTGAAATTATGCACTACAACTGTAAATAGAGCTTTTATTTACCTTTCAGCAAAAGCCAGAGCAATTTTTGTTATAATTGTTAAAAAAAAAGCCCAATGTAGTCTCCGTTGCCCATATACAAAATTATTATGTGCTAAGAAATAGTTTTACGCATTTTCTGACGAACGTGTAATTTGGAGTTGTGCCCTTTTGAAGAAGGTGTGCGATATGTATGCGTGAAAAAATTAGAAATAACTGCTTCGTCTTTAAAAGAAAAAATTTTATTCAATATTTCTTCGTTCGTAACTTCCATATCTCTGTCGATGTTAAGAAAAGCTAAACCATTTAATCCTTATACCCCAGTTTTACTTCGTAATTTTATGCTTAAGAAGGATCGTTCGCTGGAAGCAACTCTCTCAGGAAGTGTTGCGCTTATCTGCACGAATCGGTATACCTTTATTTAAAGTGATTGATTGAAAGCATTAAGAGCGTCTAGGAATGTTGTTAGACTATGCTCCGTAGGTACGTTCAAAAATGCCTGTAATGAAAAATAATATATATAAATTTATATATATATGTAAACCGTACAGAATTCTAATTGTGTACACTTTGTAAATCAACTGTCAAAATTTGTACGGATAGTATATATTTTACAACAAAAAAATCTGGATTCAAAATTAAGTGTTTTGGCTAAAATTCGTCTTTGCGGGCACAAAAGTAAATAAAATATAGTTATTTTCAGTGTGCCACCAGTCACATTCATTCAAGTGATAGTTACATAGAAATAATAAATCGTGTGGTATTTTTTTGAAGGAAATTTTATACATTAGTGATTCATCTATGTATGTTAAAAATATCATTCACTGTTGTATAAGTTCCGATAATTCACAATTGATAACATTCTGGAGTAAAATGACCCACCAGTCACAATGGAATGGCCCATATGTATGTTTGTACTTATACTAAAGCTCCAAAATAATCCAACGAAATCTTTGTTATATTGAATTACATTTCAATAATCCATTTAAAATTCCATTCAGACATTGAAATAATGCTGGCTATTAACAAGATTTATGGAGCTAAAAATAGTAGTTAATAAGTTATAAAAATAAAAAAAAACAAGTAAGAAAGTCTAANTGTCGCCTGCAATGTGTAAAAGTAAACAAAACAAAAAAATATGTTTATGAGTTTTACGAATAAACTGTTTTGTTGCGAAAACAGTATGCCAATCACGTGTTAAGCGGCCAGCTGCGATGAATTGATTTTAGATAGAATGTTTTTGCTCTTTACATAAATTTTTTATATTTTTACGCATTAATGAAGCATAAAAACATAAAACACAAACAATGCTTACAAATTCATAAAATAATTATAAATAGCGTTACAGACAACTGTTTTCGTATGAAAGTAAATTAGTTACAGCTTATTACGAGGGTTGCTACTTAAGTTGTTAGATACGCCGACACTAATGTGAATATGGACAAATCCTACGATTTTTTCAAGTTAGAGAATTAAAATTTTTGAACAGCCGTTTTTAATCCTAGTTGCACTTCGCTATAGGACGAACTTCATGATTGCCACCCCAAATCGACTGTTGTTCCAGAAAACATCGATGCAGTGCGTTAACTGATATCCCAAGGAAGTCATGTGACATACCCTGAAATCGGGGCATGCTTGCGCATTAGTTCAACTTACATTAATTGAATATTACATGCACATTTAGCCGTCAAAAAAAATTTGCTTTCGTTGAATACCACATAATCTTAGAATCGCTGAAAAAAACTCGTGTCGATTGGTGCAAATAAATGCTTCAAAAGGCGTCTTTAAGATCGTGACAGGCGACGAATCATGGATATATGCATAAAAATTAGGGTGATTAACTCGATTTTTTTAAACCGGTTTCCAGCGGTCTTGTTTTGGATATCTTTATTCATAATCTTTGATTTGGATATCTTGATTTTTTTTACGAACGGTTACGGTTTTTTCATTTCATACAAATCTTGNTTTAAGATCGTGACAGGCGACGAATCATGGATATATGCATAAAAATTAGGGTGATTGACTAGATTTTTTTAAACCGGTTTCCAGCGGTCTTTTTTTGGATATCTTTATTCATAATCTTTGATTTGGATATCTTGATTTTTTTTACGAACGGTTACGGTTTTTTCATTTCATACAAATCTTGACCTCTCAATAAAAGTTCTGAGTTTTTTGAAGTTTTCAAGGCTTTTTTCAGTTTAATGGAAACCCCTAATTAGTTTTAAAATTGTATCCTAGGTTATTTGGGGATAAAAAATATATCAAATTTGATTCGAATAAATGAATGTTTGGCACTTAAACCCNAAATGGAAACCCCTAATTAGTTTTAAAATTGTATCCTAGGTTATTTGGGGATACAAAATATATCAAATTTGATTCGAATAAATGAATGTTTGGCACTTAAACCCTTTCTACGTGTTTGGCTGAGCTTCTCTTCCAATTCGTGTTCTGCTTCTTGATGTTGGGACACAAATGGAGAGATCAACAGTTTTACTCCAGCATCGAAGAAGCTTTTTTATGGCAGAAGTACAATCGTGGGTGACCGATATTTGAAAATACTTTTTGTTGATGCTGCTGGGACCAGAAATTGAACCTATGGCAGTAGGCACATCGAGCACTCGGCAACGGCGGCAAAGCCACTACTCAAAATCGAAAGTCAGAAAAAATGCCATAAAGTATTAAAAAAAAGTTAATATTAGACCAAACGTTAATTTTTCGCTGATTTTAATATATATCTGTTACTTTTGATTTAAAAAACACTGAACTTAATTTGCCTCGCTCTTTTCTAAATAGAAGTTATCTTTACTGTTAGAAGTTTTATTGTAATTTTTGGTCTTGACTTCGTACCAACATAAGCACTTAAGCAATTCACTTATAAAAACATTTAAAATAAAACCTGATAATGTTTTTTTTTCTTTTTTTCAAAATCGGCAGCCGGTTTTTTACAAATTGCAATTTTTCGAATAACTCGAAGACCGGTTTTGGAAAATACGCGAAGAATCGAACACCCTAATAACAAGCCTATATTACACAACAATCGACTGTATGAGTCCTTCAATACGACAAAAATATAACAACAGTAGCTCATCCACGAATCACTTCGGAATAACTGGACATGACACCACCTAATCCAACATAGAAAGAACGGTTAATT